TTAGGTACATCTGTATTTGTGCAGCTACCCTAGACTATATGAAAGGGGAGTACAGTTGTCAAAACACTAGCTACGTGATGCTAAAAATACCCGTCACACAGGATGGTTAGTCATACAGAGGCACGTGATAAGTTAGTCTGCACTGGCAGACTCCGGGTGCCAGTGTTCATGAGGATATTATGAACATAAGAGTGACTAAGGTAGCGGAACATAGTTGCCGCCAATGACAACTTCTTTAGCCAGTTAGACTTTTCGAGGTCATCTCTAGGCCAGGGACGGCGAACCTATTGCACGTAGTGCCAAGAATGACACGAAACATTGTTGCTGGCACGCAGTGCCACTTCTTTATTCTTTAAACCCCACCCATAATAAATCCATGAAGATTATCATTAATATGTGAAGAACTGGTTAATTGGTATTGTTACCTGAACATACCACAGGGGCTGAAATACGCACGACTATATAAGTAGTAAACAAACTGTCTAATTGACATGCTGACTGTTCAGAACCAGTTGTTGTGACAACTGATGGCCCACCACTCAGTGTCGTTGGTAAAGAAGCAGGTTTCGAAACATGCGTGCAAAATAGGTTGGACGTCCTCTGGTAGGCTTTCACTGTATCGTACACGAAGAGGCCTTGGGTGCAAAAACTGTACTTAAGAAAATTGAAGTGATGAAAACTGAAACCAAAATAGGTAATTATATTTATGCTCATGTTTTTTAGGAAAAATAAGACTAATTCAGAATTAACTGAGCGAGGTGAATTCAGTGTCGACAGGTACGTGTGTACAACAGTACTCGGTGACTTAGTGCAGGTTCTGTGCTTTAAAGATTTGTTGAATGTTTGACGAAATTCCTCTATTTTTTGACCGATGAAAAATGTTCTTGTCAATAATTACCGGTATCTATCAGATTGGTAGAATCACGTTTTTTTCGCAGATTTCTCACATAAATGACTTGAACACCAATTTACCAGATCTGGTAAAACTTTTCTTGTTTTTTTTTTTTATTTTTGATGTTTTTTTCAAACGTGATGTCGAAAATGGCAATGCTAATTATTTCCCAAACCTAAAGAACACAAGACAGATCTTGAAATTTATGAGAAAACATGTATTCAGAGCCTTGAAATGCAATTTTCGCGCATTTGATTTAACTGCTGATAAATGTTCTCTATTATTTACTAAATTAAGGTTATTTGAAGTAGCTGTAAAATTCATGAAGTGTTCGGATAGTGTAACATTAAACAAACTGAATTTGGAAATGTTGCAGTGGATTGATGTGGATAATTTTGGATGCACTTGATTAAGGAAGATGATGAGTTTGGAGGCACAAGGGATAAGCAACTACACAAGATTTAAGAGTTGAACTAGAAAATATTGAAAAAGATCGGTTAATGACATAATTAAAGCACAAAAGGAGATTTTGACACTTAAATTCCATTCCAGGAACTTATATGTCTGAGAAATCTTGTAATGGCAATATTAACATTATTTTCATGACTATATTAATGCGAGTTAATTGATATCAGTACGGAACTTTGTCAAGTGTAATCATAGGAGTTTACTTATTACTAATGAAATTGGTTGTGCAGCTCAGCTCTCACAACAACTACATCTACTTCTGAGTAAAATAATAACTTTGCTTTCCTCATTTTTTTATTTAAAATATTAATCAATACTTATAATTTCATGTTTACACTTCTTTCTTCCTGGTTATAAGGTTAAATATTATTCATACAGTGTTATTTTTCAATGGTTTATTCAAGATAATAAAAGTTTTGTAACAGGCTTTCTCAAAAGCTTGCATTTATTTTAACTTCTCTGCTGTACTTTTGTTAATAGTAAAGCAATAAATATTCACAAATAAACAATAAAACTATTCTTTCCTTAAAAATGTTCATTATAGTTATTATTGTTGCTACTTCATGAATTTGATTTCTTGGAAATAACTAGTTATAATAACATATAAATCCTAAAGCTGTGCCTTTAAAACAATTCAGAAGAGATGTTCGTCGCCCAAACAGTCACCTTTATTTATTATTATTATTTTTTTTTTTGAGATATATACAAGAGTTGTTACATTCTTGTACAGCCACTAGTACGCGTAGCGTTTCGGGCAGGTCCCTGGAGTACGATCCCCTGCCGCGAAGAATCGTTGTTACAACCAAGTACACATTTTACTGTTGCGTTAAACAGAGGCTATAGTTAAGGAATTGCGCCCAGTAAATCCTCCCCGGCCAGGATACGAACCCATGACATAGCGCTCGCGGAACGCCAGGCGAGTGTCTTACCACTACACCACGGAGACTGCTGTATATATATATATACGTGTACTTATGTATATATATACAAGAAGGTACATTGGGATTGTGAGGATACATAACATAGTAATTACATTCTTGTAAAACCACTAGTACGCGCAGCGTTTCGGGCATCTTTAAGAATACTTTCATTCATTTTGTTCTTTCTTCATACAAAATAGTCAAATACAAATATAATCAGAATAATCTGCGGCTCACACTACCAGAGGGCACGCAAGACAATTGTTTAGAAGAGTGTTGCCGATTTGAGCAAACACGCTCTGAAAAATGTTCGCCCTAGGCTAACTGCTGACCTTTGCAACCCGCCACAGTTGTTTAGCTCCCAAGTACCTATTTACTGCTAACTGAACAGTGCCTTCGGATGAAAGGAGACGTATCTGAATGTTTCTAGCTTGCTAGGGGAATAAAACCCGGGACCTTAAGAGTGCGAACTAATTGCGTTGACTACTGCGCTCCGGGACCCTTACATTGTTTGCTGACTTCTCGACGTTTGAAATAAAGTATTCGGGCTAGTTTATGTGTCAATCATGAAACAATGGTGACCAGAATTTTCAGTCATAATGGTGTTGGTACACACAAGCAGACAACCAACGTTGGCAACATACACGTTGAACTTATAAGTCGCTTTAAATGTCATATATTTTAAAGAATATATTTGGTTTGGTAGAAGTGTGTTTTTTTGAAATTTAGTCTATAGCAATTTATTGGCATCTCCATAACCCGTGCTGTTGCTTCTGTGCCCAACTCCATCGTATTTATTATGATTAATCAGTGATAGAAATAGGGTTTGGGGAACTAGGTGCAACCTAAGGCTGATTATGCTTGGGGATCACAAGAGGGCTCAGCCATAATCATAACAAATAAACAAGTAATTTTAATTTATAGAAACTTGACAAATAATAGCTGATAAATGTCTAAAGAAATTTGACAAATAATAGCTGATAAATGTCTAAAGAAACTTGACAAATAATAGCTGATAAATGTCTAAAGAAACTTGACCAATAATAGCTGATAAATGTCTAAAGAAACTTGACAAATAATAGCTGATAAATGTCTAAAGAAACTTGACCAATAATAGCTGATAAATGTCTAAAGAAACTTGACCAATAATAGCTGATAAATGTCTAAAGAAACTTGACCAATAATAGCTGCTCATGCACAGACCATTCATGATCAAGTTACCATCAACCTCCAGTCAGAGATGAATGCTTTCTTCAGCCTCCTGTTCAATCGTAATGACTATTTTTCTAGTCTTGCTGTCCAGTCGTAAAGGAATATTTTCCTACCTATCCACTTGTTATTAGTTCCGGGGATCAACGTCCCCGTGGCCCTGTCTCTGATTAGGTCTCCTGGTTGGTGGTCTTTAAGTTCACTACGTAATAGCAGTGGATGTTTTTCCTAAGTTCACTCCAATTGTAGAGGATTGTTGGTTTAGACAATCTTCCCCATTCGTTTATATGTTGATCGTTTCAGGTAGGATTACTTAGTCTATTGTTTATTGGTTTATTTACTCGGTTTATTAATATTCGGCCTTGGTGATTTATATAGAATATAACGTTGTTGGGACACTATATATATGAACATTAGAATATAAAACAATGCCCACTTGCCTAAGGAGGTAACTAACTACATATCAGTCCAATTTATATACTGCAAAATAGGCTTTTGGGGCGCTGAAGAAAGTACCAAAGCCTATGAAAAACGGGCTCTGAAAATCCAAAGCCCATTAGTTCACCAGTCAAATACTGGTGAATAAAACTGCGGAAACACATGAATCTCGAGTTATAATAAAGTAGAATCAAGCAAGAATAAAGTTTTGTCGAGGAAGTGCAAACATCATCAGATTTACGAACGATTCTGAACTTGACGGAAACGTGGAAAGTGAAACACATCTTGTAGCTGGACAAAGTTAAAGGCAAGTTGGAGGACAAATAAGTTTAGAACCGTCACTTGCATACCAGGAGTGTTTGAGGGTCATACGACTCACAACTTTTCAGCCAAGGCACTGTAGAATTAACTTCACATAGATAAATGGATGACGAAAAAGATTGTTTTTCTTTATTAAATAATATACAATATAAAAATCATATTTATATCAATTTACAAGGGAAAATACTATATTTATATATATATAATTCTCAGTAAACTAATTTTCCATATCACCGAACATGAGCCGTAAATCTCAAATGTTATACTTGATCCTATCTCGCAAGAACTTCAATATTCTGTCTACTGAGTAACCACCCTTCCACCTTCCTAGCCACACAAAAAATTTATTCAGAAAGTAGCATAATTAATGTATTTTTAATTTTCTTACATTTTATGTCAATATGAAACATAAAAAACCTCATTAAATCCACTCTAATGCTTGGTCCACATAAAACTTTTAAGTGTCTGTAATTCATCAAGTACAACTTTCTGCTTACAGAAATACAAAATATATATATGCATATTATTCTCATTTTCAGTTCATTGGTTGTTGTACCTATTTTGTTGTACATTTAGTACCTATTATTGTCCATAATGCCCAACATGAACAGCCTATCATTAGTAGGGAGGGTCCCACGAGTATAGCCATACAATAATTCACGTTGTTTTGGGGCAATAAAATTAACACGAGGGTTTGCCCATATTACTCTCCAGTTAAAGAGTAGATATGTCTCCTCTACTCTGGGAACTATATGATCTACTCTGGGAACTATATGATCTACTCTGGGAACTATATGATCTACTCTGGGAACTATATGATCTACTCTGGGAACTATATGATCTACTCTGGGAACTATATGATCTACTCTGGGAACTATATGATCTACTCTGGGAACTATATGATCTACTCTGGGAACTATATGATCTACTCTGGGAACTATATGAACTACTCTGGGAACTATATGATCTACTCTGGGAACTATATGATCTACTCTGGGAACTATATGAACTACTCTGGGAACTATATGATCTACTCTGGGAACTATATGATCTACTCTGGGAACTATATGATCTACTCTGGGAACTATATGATCTACTCTGGGAACTATATGATCTACTCTGGGAACTATATGATCTACTCTGGGAACTATATGATCTACTCTGGGAACTATATGATCTACTCTGGGAACTATATGATCTACTCTGGGAACTATATGATCTACTCTGGGAACTATATGAACTACTCTGGGAACTATATGATCTACTCTGGGAACTATATGAACTACTCTGGGAACTATATGATCTACTCTGGGAACTATAGGAACTACTCTGGGAACTATATGAACTACTCTGGGAACTATGAATTGCACATGAATTAAAGTGAGGTGAAATAAAGACAAGGTTAGTATACTCTGGCATATGTATCATGGTCAGTATACTCTGGCATATGTATTAAGGTTAGTATACTCTGGCATATGTATCATGGTCAGTATACTCTGGCATATGTATCATGGTCAGTATACTCTGGCATGTGTCATGGCCAGTATACTCTGGCATATGTATCATGGTCAGTATACTCTGGCATATGTGTCATGGTCAGTATACTCTGGCATATGTATCATGGTCAGTATACTCTGGCATATGTATCAAGGTCAGTATACTCTGGCATATGTATCAAACAGCTAACACATAATTTACAAAAATAATGCTCTAACACATTTACACTATTTATTTGCATTATTTCCTTTCTAAAGATAACACAAGATAGCTACTACCAACCGTAGCGTTTGGGTCAGGTCCTTAATCTTATATTCCCCGGAAGACAACCCCGCCAAGTCGTTTAATAACCAGGTACCCTTTTACTGTTAGGTAAACAGAGGCTACAGTTAAGGGTTGGCGCCCAGTAACTCCTCCCCGGCCAGGATACGAACCCAGGACAAAGCGCTCGCGGAACGCCAGGCGCGTGTCTTACCACTACACCACGGGGATGTTATCCGGAGCATGACTGAACCACACGCCAGATGGTGAAGACACGACGAGGTTTGGACCATTATGAAGTAAATTCCGTTATCACAATCGACGTTTCGGTCCGAGACGGACCGAAACGTCGTCGCCTCGTCATCTTCTGATGTCTGGTTCGGTCATTTCTTCAGCCCCGTTATTGTGACTCATCGTCTGCTTATTCCGAGTAGTTATTTTTAAGCTGTTTTCCATTATCTGCGGTCATTGACAGTGGTCTATGTCTCTGATTCACAGTGTGGGATCCTTCTTCAATTCCCGGGTGGAACAAATGGTGGGGGGTATGTTTCCTATCATCTGATGCCGCTGTTCACCTGGCAGTAAATAGATACCTGGCAGTTAGGCATAGTTCCGGGGTTACATCCAGGGGAAGGTCAGTTGTTGATCTAGGGATGGGGTAGGCCTTGATAAGCCTAAACGCAGGCTTCCTGTACCCGATAATGGAAAATATTATACTGAGGAGCGAGTGGGTCATGGTGTGATAGTTGACAGTAACTGCTGGTAACCTCCGGGTTGACAGTAACTGCTGGTAACCTCCAGGTTGACAGTAACTGCTGGTAACCTCCGGGTTGACAGTAACTGCTGGCAACCTCCGGGTTGACAGTAACTGCTGGTAACCTCCGGGTTGACAGTAACTCCGCTGGTAACCTCCGGGTTGACAGTAACTGCTGGTAACCTCCGGGTTGACAGTAACTGCTGGTAACCTCCGGGTTGACAGTAACTGCTGGTAACCTCCGGGTTGACAGTAACTGCTGGTAACCTCCGGGTTGACAGTAATTGCTGGTAACCTCCGGGTTGACAGTAACTCCTCTGGTAACCTCCGGGTTGACAGTAACTGCTGGTAACCTCCGGGTTGACAGTAACTGCTGGTAACCTCCAGGTTGACAGTGTCTCCGCTGGTAACCTCCGAGTTGACAGTAACTGCTGGTAACCTCCGGGTTGACAGTAACTGCTGGTAACCTCCAGGTTGACAGTAACTGCTGGTAACCTCCGGGTTGACAGTAACTGCTGGTAACCTCCGGGTTGACAGTAACTGACCTCTGGTAACCTCCGGGTTGACAGTAACTGCTGGTAACCTCCGGGTTGACAGTAACTGCTGGTAACCTCCGGGTTGACAGTAACTGCTGGTAACCTCCAGGTTGACAGTAACTGCTGGTAACCTCCGGGTTGACAGTAACTGCTGGTAACCTCCGGGTTGACAGTAACTGCTGGTAACCTCCGGGTTGACAGTAACTGCTGGTAACCTCCGGGTTGACAGTAACTGCTGGTAACCTCCAGGTTGACAGTAACTGCTGGTAACCTCCGGGTTGACAGTAACTGCTGGTAACCTCCGGGTTGACAGTAACTGCTGGTAACCTCCGGGTTGACAGTAACTCCGCTGGTAACCTCCGGGTTGACAGTAACTGCTGGTAACCTCCGGGTTGACAGTAACTGCTGGTAACCTCCGGGTTGACAGTAACTGCTGGTAACCTCCGGGTTGACAGTAACTGCTGGTAACCTCCGGGTTGACAGTAACTGCTGGTAACCTCCGGGTTGACAGTAACTGCTGGTAACCTCCGGGTTGACAGTAACTGCTGGTAACCTCCTCTCCGGGTTGACAGCTGGTAACCTCCGGGTTGACAGTAACTGCTGGTAACCTCCGGGTTGACAGTAACTGCTGGTAACCTCCGGGTTGACAGTAACTGCTGGGGTTGACACTGCTGGTAACCTCCGGGTTGACAGTAACTGCTGGTAACCTCCGGGTTGACAGTAACTGCTGGTAACCTCCGGGTTGACAGACTGCTGGTAACCTCCGGGTTGACAGTAACTGCTGGTAACCTCCGGGTTGACAGTAACTGCTGGTAACCTCCGGGTTGACAGTAACTGCTGGTAACCTCCGGGTTGACAGTAACTGCTGGTAACCTCCGGGTTGACAGTAACTGCTGGTAACCTCCGGGTTGACAGTAACTGCTGGTAACCTCCGGGTTGACAGTAACTCCGCTGGTAACCTCCGGGTTGACAGTAACTGCTGGTAACCTCCGGGTTGACAGTAACTGCTGGTAACCTCCGGGTTGACAGTAACTGCTGGTAACCTCCGGGTTGACAGTAACTGCTGGTAACCTCCGGGTTGACAGTAACTGCTGGTAACCTCCGGGTTGACAGTAACTGCTGGTAACCTCCGGGTTGACAGTAACTGCTGGTAACCTCCGGGTTGACAGTAACTGCTGGTAACCTCCGGGTTGACAGTAACTGACAGTAACTGCTGGTAACCTCCGGGTTGACAGTAACTGCTGGTAACCTCCGGGTTGACAGTAACTGCTGGTAACCTCCGGGTTGACAGTAACTGCTGGTAACCTCCGGGTTGACAGTAACTGCTGGTAACCTCCGGGTTGACAGTAACTGCTGGTAACCTCCGGGTTGACAGTAAGTAACTGGTAACCTCCGGGTTGACAGTAACTGCTGGTAACCTCCGGGTTGACAGTAACTGCTGGTAACCTCCTGCTGGTAACCTCCGGGTTGACAGTAACTGCTGGTAACCTCCGGGTTGACAGTAACTGCTGGTAACCTAACCGGGTTGACAGTAACTGCTGGTAACCTCCGGTTGACAGTAACTGCTGGTAACCTCCGGGTTGACAGTAACTGCTGGTAACCTCCGGGTTGACAGTAACTGCTGGTAACCTCCGGGTTGACAGTAACTGCTGGTAACCTCCGGGTTGACAGTAACTGCTGGTAACCTCCGGGTTGACAGTAACTGCTGGTAACCTCCGGGTTGACAGTAACTGCTGGTAACCTCCGGGTTGACAGTAACTGCTGGTAACCTCCGGGTTGACAGTAACTGCTGGTAACCTCCGGGTTGACAGTAACTGCTGGTAACCTCCGGGTTGACAGTAACTGCTGGTAACCTCCGGGTTGACAGTAACTGCTGGTAACCTCCGGGTTGACAGTAACTGCTGGTAACCTCCGGGTTGACAGTAACTGCTGGTAACCTCCGGGTTGACAGTAACTGCTGGTAACCTCCGGGTTGACAGTAACTGCTGGTAACCTCCGGGTTGACAGTAACTGCTGGTAACCTCCGGGTTGACAGTAACTGCTGGTAACCTCCGGGTTGACAGTAACTGCTGGTAACCTCCGGGTTGACAGTAACTGCTGGTAACCTCCGGGTTGACAGTAACTGCTGGTAACCTCCGGGTTGACAGTAACTGCTGGGGTTGACAGTAACTGCTGGTAACCTCCGGGTTGACAGTAACTGCTGGTAACCTCCGGGTTGACAGTAACTGCTGGTAACCTCCGGGTTGACAGTAACTGCTGGTAACCTCCGGGTTGACAGTAACTGCTGGTAACCTCCGGGTTGACAGTAACTGCTGGTAACCTCCTGGTAACCTCCGGGTTGACAGTAACTGCTGGTAACCTCCGGGTTGACAGTAACTGCTGGTAACCTCCGGGTTGACAGTAACTGCTGGTAACCTCCGGGTTGACAGTAACTGCTGGGGTTGACAGTAACTGCTGGTAACCTCCGTAACCTCCAGGTTGACAGTAACTGCTGGTAACCTTGACAGTAACTGCTGGTAACCTCCGGGTTGACAGTAACTGCTGGTAACCTCCGGGTTGACAGTAACTGCTGGTAACCTCCGGGTTGACAGTAACTGCTGGTAACCTCCGGGTTGACAGTAACTGCTGGTAACCTCCGGGTTGACAGTAACTGCTGGTAACCTCCGGGTTGACAGTAACTGCTGGTAACTGCTGGTAACCTCCGGGTTGACAGTAACTGCTGGTAACCTCCGGGTTGACAGTAACTGCTGGTAACCTCCGGGTTGACAGTAACTGCTGGTAACCTCCTGGTAACCTCCGGGTTGACAGTAACTGCTGGTAACCTCCGGGTTGACAGTAACTGCTGGTAACCTCCGGGTTGACAGTAACTGCTGGTAACCTCCGGGTTGACAGTAACTGCTGGTAACCTCCGGGTTGACAGTAACTGCTGGTAACCTCCGGGTTGACAGTAACTGCTGGTAACCTCCGGGTTGACAGTAACTGCTGGTAACCTCCGGGTTGACAGTAACTGCTGGTAACCTCCGGGTTGACAGTAACTGCTGGTAACCTCCGGGTTGACAGTAACTGCTGGTAACCTCCGGGTTGACAGTAACTGCTGGTAACCTCCGGGTTGACAGTAACTGACCTGCTGGTAACCTCCGGGTTGACAGTAACTGCTGGTAACCTCCGGGTTGACAGTAACTGCTGGTAACCTCCGGGTTGACAGTAACTGCTGGTAACCTCCGGGTTGACAGTAACCTCCGGGTTGACAGTAACTGCTGGTAACCTCCGGGTTGACAGTAACTGCTGGTAACCTCCGGGTTGACAGTAACTGCTGGTAACCTCCGGGTTG